TGCCAAAGGGAGAGCGGGAGCTCCTTTTTGTTGTTATTGCAAGGACTGAGAGCAAGTGGGAGGCCATAAATCATTGATAAATCACATATTGTGCATGCAAAGGACTACAGGTTCAATCGCTGACTGAAAGTGTGGAAGGCTGATGTTATTCAATTTACAGGATTGAGTTAGATGGACCAATGGTCTAACTCAGCATACATCAGATGTCTGAGCCTCAGTATTTATGGAACTGATCTGCAACAGGACAAAGTTGCTACATCCAGATGACAGAAGGGCTATTGATTTTTTAAGAATCACACAGAATAAACATTTCTACCAGGGGCTACTTCTTTCATCGCAGCAACATTATTCGCAGGAAATACTGGTCAACTCTAAAAGCAGAAAGAGCTTTTCCAAGGCTCCAGGCTCAACAACCCTATTGAGCAAGCAATTGTATATTAATTTATGCAACATTCTTAATAAATGCAGAGTCTACATAAAGGTGACATTAGCTGTCATAAAGTGTCTTTGTCTCACTTTTCAGAAAAGATGTCACAAAGTAATTTGTTCATCTTTAGAGCTTAATAGATTTTTTTTAAAAAAAAAACTTCACAAAAGATGTTAAAGACATTGTGTACTGACAAACTGAGTTTTTGTGTACCAATCTTACTGTGGTTACAAAAACACAATTTCTAAACACTACCAAGAAATAAAAGTCAAACCACGCTACAGTGGTACCTCGGTTTAAGAAAAGCCCTGTTTACGAACTCCGTAAAACCGGAAGTAGTGTCCCGGTTTGCGAACTTTACCTAGGTCTACAAACAGAATTCGAATGGTGGAAGGGCACCGGAGGCGAGAGGCCTCATTGGGGAAAGCGCACCTCGGTTTAAGAACGGACTTCCAGAACAGATTAAGTTTGTCAACCAAGGTACCACTGTACTTTGCTACATTTATCAAACGTCTTTTTTAAAAAAACTGCTTTACTATCTAATAGACCACCCCCCACCCCCCAAAAGAGGGACGCAGGTGGCGCTGTGGGTTAAACCACAGAGCCTAGGACTTGCCGATCAGAAGGTCAGTGGTTCCAATCCCTGCGACGGGGTGAGCTCCCATTGCTCGGTCCCTGCTCCTGCCAACCTAGCAGTTCAAAAGCACTTCAAAGTGCAAGTAGATAAATAGGCGGGAAGGTAAACGGCGTTTCCGTGCGCTGCCAGAAGCGGCTTAGTCATGCTGGCCACATGACCTAGAAGCTGTATGCCGGCTGCCTCGGCCAATATAGCGAGATGAGCACCGCAACCCCAGAGTTGGTCAAGACTGGACCTAATGGTCAGGGGTCCCTTTACCTTTACCTTACACCCCCCAAAAAATATCCATTAAGGCTGTAATCCTATACATATCTTTTCAGGAGTAATTCCCATTGAGTTCAGTAGGGCTTCAAGTCAGCCTAAATAGATAAATACTTCACTTGATTAAAAGGGGGAAAGAAAAGAGATTTTACTTGCAATTAATGAGTAATCTTCCATGAATCAGAACAAATCTATCATCCCATTAGGCTTTTAATGCATAGTACAGAGCTCTCAGCAGCAGTTTTAATACAAGTTCAGTCTTCCGTTAGTGCAAACCTTTCACATAAATTTAAACCCTCTTTCAGGAAACTCCTAGGAGAAAGAAAACATTTGTAAGATCGAAGCGGACTGCTTCCTTATAATGAAAATGAAAGAAAAATAATTATGTTTATTTGTGTGCCTCTATGTGGATTCTTAAATATATATCTGTGACTTTTGTTAAATCATCTTGACTTGAAAGTCAGTTTAATTTAGGTTGTGCTAATAATATGCTGCTTTTATAGAATCCATTTACAGAGAACCCACAACTTCAAAAGGCAAAAATCTAAACGTTTTTCATCAAATCTCAAACCCAAGTGGGATAACTCTATAGTGGTGAAAACATGGCTAAGAGCTTTTTAAACTGCTTCTCCAAATCACTAACCCTGCGTCTTCATAATATTAATTAGAAAAACAGCGGGCTGCACAAGTACCACTATTTCATAAACAGAGCCCTGTTATATTGTCCTTCAGAGATGAAAATTCCTAACACAATAAATCTGCCAGCCTTTTAGATGCCACAGGGCTGGATTTTCTTTTTCAATCTAAAAAAAAAAGTTCACATGATAAAGCGGTTGGAGCAGGCAGCTGCATGCGTAAACTTTCACAAAGAAAAATAATCCCAGCACATTCGAAACTCAAGTGGACCACAATTAAGCAAAAATTAAGCAACTTCAACATGAGAAATTAGTGTGATTGCGGGTATTCTGGAAACACACAACGTAGATTCAAAAACTAGCAGACGCATCTCCAAATCTGGTTGCTGTCAGATAATAGTGTGGATACATGGAAAATCACATATTCCCTTTACAAAACAAACATTACCATTCAGCTGTTATCTGTATCAGTGAAGGAAACAAGGAGCCAATGGGGTGTCTGGGGCTTCCAATGGGGAGCTTCTCATTGGAACCCTGAAAATTAAACCCTAACTCATCCCTTTTAAGTATCTATGCTTAAGCATTGCAAAGGCAAGTTTGAGCATGCGGTGGGGGAAGTGTACACTGTGATTTCCAGCTTTAAAATTCTGACTTATCAAATTCTCAGTTTCGCCAGGGTCTAGAGCGTGGACTTGAATCAAGCCCGAACTTCACCTTAAGAAATCCTCATCCCACTGGGATGAAGGCAACGCAAATAATGACAGCAGACCTTCAGGAAAACCAGAGCAGGTTGTGTCTTGGATAAACAACACCTTCCTAGTATGTTTTCTCTGAAGCCCAGTATAAAGATCATGGCTGGGACCCAAAAGTCTGTTTTGGGTGTACTCAACAGTTTGTGTGCACCTATAACAGAACAGGGACGCGGGTAGCGCTGTGGGTTAAACCACAGAGCCTAGGGCTTGCCGATCGGAAGGTCGGCGGTTTGAATCCCCGCAACGGGGTGAGCTCCCGTTGCTCAGTCCCAGCTCCTGCCAACCTAGCAGTTCAAAAGCACATCAAAGTGCAAGTAGATAAATAGGTACCGCTCCAGCGGGAAGGTAAATGGCATTTCCGTGCGCTGCTCTGGTTCACCAGAAGCAGCTTAGTCATGCTGGCCACATGACCGGAAGCTGTACGCCGGCTCCCTCGGCCAGTAAAGCGAGATGAGCACTGCAACTCCAGAGTCGGCCTCGACTGGACCTAGTGGTCAGGGGTCCCTTTACCTATAACAGAACCACATGTTTTATCATGGGGAGGTGGCTGGACTCCTCATTGGCAGCTGCCAGCATGGTTAGTGGTCAGAGATATGGCGGTCCAACAACCTCTTGCAGGACACAGATTCTCCACACTTGCTTCATCAGAGAAAAACAGCTTGGGGTGTTTGGCATGGAATACAGAGAAGAAGGAAGTTCCTGTTTAAGAAAAACCAGCCCAGATACTTTGTAAAGGTAAAGGATGTGAGCAATTTTCTTCAGATCCTGGCCAATGGTTTTCTCACCCCGCCCCCCAACAACACTGAAGTGTTTTATCAACTGTTTGTTACATATGTGCTTTTATAGGACAAGACCTTTGATAACATTTGCGCTTTGCAGCCCAATCCAATGCATGTTCACTGAGAAGTCATCCCCTTGAATTTGTTAAGATTCTTTGTCAAGTGATTATGCTGAGGATTGTTAATACGTTCATACCCAACCTTTGCACAAAGGAGCTCAGCAGAGCCTGCATAGAGTTCTCAGGTTCTCTCTTCACAACAACCCATTGAAGTAGGGCTCATCTGATTTAGAACACAGGCCTCCCTGGTGCAAGTGTAAACCAATGTCCACTACACAGCTTGGTTTCCTATCTTAAGTTGCTCGAGGTATAAAAAAACCAAAGTTTGTTTGTACTAAAGCACAGGTTCAATTTTAACGTTATCAGATGTACACTTTGACAATACAGTGGTACCTCGGGTTACATACGCTTCAGGTTACATACACTTCAGGTTACAACCTCCGCTAACCCAGAAATATTACCTCAGGTTAGAACTTTGCTTCAGGATGAGAACAGAAATCGTGCGGCAGCAGGAGGCCCCATTAGCTAAAGTGGTGCTTCAGGTTAAGAACAGTTTCAGGTTAAGAACGGCCCTCCGGAACGAATTAAGTACTTAACCTGAGGTACCACTGTACACATTAGAACGACCCTGATCCAACCTGGGATTAAAACTCGTCTCCATGACCTCTCACATACATTCCTCTCTGACTTTTAATATTCACATCCTAGATATGTGTAACCATTTCAATACAATCTACTTCCAAAACAGATGTGTTTAGAGTTAAGAACTATTACGTAACAATGCCTATGAAGGTGATAGAACTGGCCCAGAGTTAGCTCATTTGTCATCTTCCAGATGTTCCAGGCCAACTCCTATAATCTCAGACTGCTGGCCATGCTGGCAGAAGCTTATGCAAGTTGCACTCCAACATCTGGACAGCACCATGTTGAACCAAACCCAACATTCCTGAATTTGCAATTGTTCAATAATACAGAAATGCAGAGTTTCCCAAATTTTGGACTACAATATGAGCTTTGCACCTAAACTCATTTGTACTGGAAAGTACATTCACGCTACTTGGAAAGGGTCCCAGTTTTGCTAACTTTGACAGCAAAGGACCAAAGCCTTGCTTTGCACATTCCTGCCATTTACAGTTAAAATAATCAGAGTTTGCAGGGCTGGGGGGGGGCGGGGAAACTCCATTATTTCCCTGGAGCTCTGCTGTCAGTCAAAATAGACAATTCTGAGCTACAGGCATTTTATTTGTGGCAATTTTATATGTTCGGTGGGACTTACTTCCTGGAAAGTAGATGCAATATGTTCTCACACAAACCACACAGGGGTGGCAGATAGTAAGTTTTTTTGGTTTAGCTATGTTATAAACCTAAGTATCCTCAATCACTCGGTTGTTAATGACAACCCAATATCCCACCAGTACCCTTAATGATGCAGAACACAACAATTACAAAATTACTAGTTAGTTCTTTTTATTATACCCATTCTGGTTTTAAAAATAATAGGAGCTTTAGGGTAGTCTGCTAGCAAATAAACATTCACTAATCAAAATACAAGTTTTCATTAGAGGGATGCGTTTTAGCCAACAGGAAGTTTCGCTGTTAATTCACATTCAAGCAAATAAGTGTCGACAAACATACTTCTATCATTTTGCTGATGTTTGTACACAAGTCTCCCCCCATATAAATAGGTGCAGAAACACAGCTTAATATGAAAGTACTCTGTCCAGGTACAGCATATGAAAATCTGTATAGCACTAGTAAATGAATAAAAAACTAAATGATTCGTGTAAAATGTTTATACACTTTATATACACACTAAGTCACAAGTTCAATTAAAAACCACCTCCATTCATAACTCTTATGATAGACTTAGTAAGCTACAGTACAAGATTTATTTTTTAAACAGAAAAAAGAAAAGAAAACTAGCTAAGAGCTCATTTCAGGACTTACTGAAAACTGGATTGTATACAAAATTTTAGAAAACATACTTCAGAGAGAATTACTCAACACAAACTAGAAAAAGACTGTAATCAGCTCTCGAGAATGACATTTTAAATACTTAATTGCAATCAATAACCTCTCACTTAGCGAAAATATGACAATGGAATTATTTTATAATAAGGCATAAGGACAACCAGGGCACTCTCTCTTCTGTGGCACTCTGGCTTCCCAATGCTCTCTTATTGCTTGTCCTTATTTAAAAATGCTCTCTCTCCCTTTCTTTTTCTTGCTTTCTTTGAAAAAATACATCGTTTTAAAACCATCTCCCAGAGAAAAAAGGAAAACATTTCTGTGGATGGGAGATGTTTGAAATCTGGACTGTTGATTGATATTTATAAAGCCCCAGAAGAATTTCAAAATGAATGGTTTAAGCTGCAGCTAGACATTTAGCTAAAAAGAAGGAAAGAAAGAAAGCCTCTCTCTCTCTCAACAATTCTAACAGGCCAACACTTGATCCTAAAATAATATTTTACTCAAATAAGGAAATTCCACTCTTTGAAATGACAGCTTTGGAGTGAGGGGGAGGAAGCTTAATAGAAATATTCTTTGGTTAAGACTAGAGTGCCCATAACTCTGTATCCAAGCATCAAGCCACTGTTTGTAACTAATTCTGTCTAAGTAAATTGTCAAGTTTCAGTGTGCACCGCTTGAGGAATGGCCAAATGACTGGATCGCATAAAAAGCACCCATTAGGTCGCAAATGTAAATGGACAGTACTTTTAAGTCGAGCAATGTGCATTTATGTATAGATCTGTTTAATGCGGGGGGGGGGGAATCAGAGCTTTCATTCAGAGTAAAAACTTGTGCTTATACATCACCATGGTGGTCCTTCCCTATAGATAAGACACCAGCCAAAATTCCTACATACGTGGACTTAATGTTTCTGCATTGTTGTAGGTGCAAACTCCCTCCCAGTAGAAAACAATGAAAACAGAGCCAAATTTGCCCTTGGGTATTTGGAGAGAAAGACCGCATCCCACTCAGAATGCCCATAACTTTTACTCAGCAGCATGTCTTAACAAATGTAGAAATGCCACTCTTTTGCCCAGGGAAGGAAAGGGCACCAATGGACACTTCAAAGAAGCATTAAACTGAGCCTTGAAGACATCAAACAAGAATACATATAGAGTGCTACCCAGCCAAGTCATACTGAGGGCCTAACCCTCTTAGTATGACTTGGCTATTGCCCAGAGAGTTCCAAAAATGCTTAGCACATCTGACAATCTGTGATGCTGCTCAAAGCCCAGGACCTGACACACCTCCACCCTTAGCCAGTCTGGTAGACTACTTTCAGAACATTTAAACAATGTGCAATGGGGTTTTTATATATAATACACACACACACACATACATAAAGAGTGATAATACAGGAATTTTCATCAAAGACTCTTCCTTGCTATTGTCCACTGTGTCAGAATTACATTTTGCAAACACACTCAGTTTTCAAAGAACTGACATTGCTTCATGCCATCAAAGAGATTTGCTCCTGGAAGGGAAGTTCCGACTGTTCAAGTGGTGTAAAAATCCAGAAGTCGCCACTTTGATGACGGCCCCTTTTGGCACTGGCTCTTCTGACCCATCCCCATTGTAACGCAGTTCCAAAGAGCTGAAGAAGAAAGAGACTTTGGAAAGCGGCAGAGAAGGCAAAGGGAATAAAATGGTACAAGGAGGTCCCTGATTGCGTTGTCTAGTATTTCGCCCCCCAAACAGGGTAGGGGTTGGGGAATAGAAGCAGCCACAAAATCTAACCTGTCAGAAATAGCTGTTCCATTCCACTGACTTCATCCAATTTAGGAGATAGGCAACACTGGGAAAATAATGATCAGGAAAGGTTCTCTCTGCTTCACCACCAACATGGCTGGGAAGTGCAAAATGTTCTCTCTCTCTCTCTTTCAGATTCCTCTTCCCATCCCAGGGCAAGAAGGCAACACTTTCTGGGAAGCAGGAAAGATGGACTGGCCACATAGCAGTTCCTTCACCATGATGCAGAAAGAAGCAAAAGGCAGGAAAATGGGAGACTGGTGGAAGCAGACTCAGAACGATGCAAAGGGGTCCTTTACATCATTGAAGTAGAATTTGATGCCCACCCATTCTCTGGATGGGGGAGGGGAGGGGAGATGCAGGAATAAAATATACAGCACGTATGTTCTGGGGTGAACAAGACAGACATCTTTGGAAGCATGCATGTTAAAAAGGGGACACAGGTACGTGTGTCGAGATTTGTGTTTTACCTCTAGCAATATGAACAGATCACATAGTGGATTGATTCTGGGACAGTGAATTCTGCACAGCTGGCATTTGAGGTGGGCAGCGATTATATAAAAGGGTTGGGCAATGGCAGCACATTACATGGCAAAGGCCCATGGAAGTGCTCTGGACCCATGTTAAGTGCAAGGGGTAGAAGGAAGTGATCCAACTTGTACAAAACAAGAGGCGTTCCTCATGGGCGAGGGGCTGAGTGACTGTCTATATAAGGAACCTAGGTGGAGATGGTGTTCTTCCAAGGTACAAGTGAGGGGTGCATGAGGTGTCACAAAGTTATGAAGGGATGACCACAGGGCAAGTGCATAGAAATGTAAACAAGGGGCCGGGAACTCAGCGTGCGGAAGGGAAGGAAGTTCTCTGCACCTTTAAGAACAACACAGAAGAGGAGACACCACAATGGGGAGGTTTTCAATCTGTGCAGTTCTAAAAGGTGGAAGAGCCTTCAGGCTGCCACCCTATTGCTTAGGTGAAGGCTCCATCTGGGATGCTGGACAGGCATTCAGGTGGGGCACTTTTGTCTCTCCCAGCACAGCCCCTTCCAAACTCTCCTACAGTTTTGCAAGGCGCAGCTCCCACGCAAGCCAAAAATGTGTCGAGCCTAGGCAGGTTTCTTTCTGCAAGGTCAGGCCCCGGTCATCCTAGGTTAGGGAAAGGAATGTGCCTGGAAAAAAGAAAAAATCTGGGGTGTGGTGGAGCTGGTGGCCAGCCCAGGCTGCGCTTGTGCATCTCGGTCCCCTCACTCCCTGCAGAAGACATACTCGGTGTAGCTGGTCCAGATCTTGTCGTCGGCGGGGCCGCCCTGCTCGGGGGCGAAGGCGCAGGTGCCGGTGGAGGAGCAGGCGGCCATGCGGAAGCCGGCCTCGCTGAGCCGGTCGAAGGCCTGCTCCAGGAAGTTGAACTTGAGGTAGTAGCGGGCCGTGTAGCGCTCCGGGGGCCGGTCGGGGTCGCGGCTCTCGTTGAGCGTCTCGCCGAAGACCTCCTTGGCCAGCGCCGTCTTGCCGCACACCGTGATGCGCGCCACGCGGCGGAACTTGGCGTCGGCCTGCGCGTCCCGCCCGATGGTGTAGGAGCCGCGGTAGCCGATGGTGATGTAGCCCGAGCGCCGCCCCGACGCCGCCCCGCCGGCGTCCAGCGAGAGCGACGGCGCCAGCAGAGGCCCGCCCGACGGGCTGCGGCTGGACGTGGGCGAGGCCGACAGAGCCCCGCCGCCGCCGCCCTCGGGGAGCTCGGCCTCCAGGTAGCCCAGGCCCGGCGGCGGCTCGTCGGCGCACACGGAGGCGTCGCGCAAGAGCCCCGAGAAGCGCGCGGCGGCGGAGGGGAGGCCGGCGGCCGCCAGACGGCGCGCCAGCTCGGGCAGCTGGAAGTACTCGGCCTCCCTCTGCAGGCGGCTGCGCTCGGGGAAGCGCTCGGGCAGCACCAGCTCCTGGTCGCGCAGGTAATCCAGGATGTAGCGGAAGAGGAAGCCGTCGCGGTCCAAGAAGAAGCGGCCCTTGGAGTCGCGCGGCAGCTCGGACGCCGCCTGCTCCGAGAACATGCGCCACAGCAGAGAGCCGCGCACCGACAGCACCGTGCCGCGCCGGGTCACGTACACCTGCCCGCCCACGTTCAGCTCCACGATCTCCGGGAAGCCCTCGCCGCCGCCCACCGACGACGCCGCCGCCGCCTCGGGCTGCGCGGGGCGCGGCGCGCTGCGCAAGGCGCTGCTGCCTCCGCCGCCGCCGCCGTTGGGGAGCCCCCGCGCGCTGTCCGCCAAGGCCATGGCCGGCCCGGAGCGAGTCCTTCCTCTACGGCCGCGCCCTCGGCTTCTTCTCCTCCAGGCTGGCGCGCCGCCTTCCCCGCCAAGCTCCGGAGCGCGCCCGCTGCTGCTGCTGCTGCTGCTTCCCGGGCTCCGCTCGGCGCCCCAGCCTCTTTTCCTTTCTCTCTCTCCTCCGGGCTTCGGGTCCTCGCGCTCTCGCCACTCCGATGCGCCGGCGGCGAGCGCGGCTTATGTAGCGGCGCTGCAAGCTCGCAGGAGGGGAGCGCGCGGCGAGGGGAGCGCAAGGCGTGGACGGGGAGGAGGAGGGGAGCCGGGCGGGTGGGTGTCGACACTGACGTGGGGCTGCGCCTTCCCCAATTGCGAAGGAGCCCGAGCGCAGAGCTCCCACCCCCTTCCCCCTGCCGCCGGGGATATATTTATTTATTTGCTCGGCGGAGAATGCCAACTCCGGCCAAATCACAATCAGCCCGACCCCCCCGTCGGAGAGACGCGCAAGCAACCCCCTTGTTGTGCTGGCCTCGCTTCCCTTCTCGGCTTGCAAAAACAGGAGGATGCCATTCTCTGGAGCGCTTCCCTTGTCACCCGCAGCAGCAGCAGTAGGATTTTTCCAAGCGATTTTTAAGGGTACAGTCCTACACACTTGGGATTAAGCCCTGTTGAGTTTAGGGGGGCTTCCGAGGCCATAAAGTCGGGCTGCCCCGTCCCCCTCCCCCCAGAGGCGAATAGATCGCAGCTCTTGCTGTCCATTTACTCTGGAATAACCTCCTCTTCCGTGAGAAATGTGCTTGGCGAATGGCAAACGCAGTTGCATTTTATTTTATTTTTTACTTTGGGGGTGTGTGTGTGCGTGCTCTAGTCCTGTTGAGGTTAGTGCAGAGGCTGATGGAGTAGATTTGAGACGCTGCTTTCAAAAATCAACTTTTAGGGGGAGCGGCGCCTTCGCATGAATCGCCCCGAGTATGGCTGGCTAGCTCCCCAATCCTCGGCGCGCCCTCGACTACCACAGGGATGAGTGGGGTGGAGATTTAAGGCGCTGGATGGGAGCAAAGGAGGAGCAGCGATGGGCAATGGCTCCCTAGACTCCCGTTCTTCAGAAAGTGCAAGTCAGCAGGGCTGCCGCAGAGTACCGGTAAATGGATTGTCTCAGGTAGAGAGTGTGAGAACCAGCCCAGGGCAACAGTGTTGATGCAGAGGCACTAAACTGCTGCAACGTCACCTCCAAGCTGTCCACTACGGAGCGGGTCCCCTGACGTGACGGATGTCATTATGCAAACTCTGCGCTTTTTGCAAACAGCCTCGTTGCAGATGGGAAGGCAAAGGAGCCTTGTGGCTTCCTGACCTCTAGGCAGACTTCCTCATTTTTATTTTTTTCAAAAAATGGTGGGTCTGTCAAAAAAAAATGCGCACACCCCTCATGCCTATTTTCCCCTGCTTCTCTTTTTCTACTAAAACGATTTTACGTAGTTTCTAAGGGGGAAATGAAGAGGCACATTTCATTTTACACATACCAATCATTTTCATGGGTTTCTAGGCTTCTGGTTCCAATTGATCCTTGACTAATATTGTCCTAGAGATATTTTATTTTACTTACCCTGCTTTTCATGCACCCACAATCTCTGGCCCTCCCTCCATTTTAATGAGTGGAACAGATATTGTTAGACTTCAAAGACCATATTGTCGTTTCCCCGTACTAAATTCTGCAGCATATCTTCACTGTGGGCTTATATCCAAAAATGCTGCCATACTGTAATTCTTTACTAACTGTCCCTGGGCTTGCTTAAGACTGCAGTCACAGTACTGCAGCACTGCCAGGCACTGAAAGAGTGAAATGCAACTTACAAACATGTACATCTGTAAAAGGTCTGGGACGTCAAACGGTTAATGACTTATGTTAATTCTTTTCCCTGTTTTACAAATAAAGTCCCTGTAGGATCGACCCTAAATAGGTTTACTCAGAAGCAAACCCCATTAAAGCAGCAGATTTTAGTTCCTAGTAAATATGTTTTAGACCACAGCTCTACCTACATCCCCTTAGGACTGCAGTATTAAAGTGCAATCCTATCCACATATCCTCAGAAGGAAGCCCAATTCGGTTCAGCAGGACTTCCTCCTAGGTAACAGTGTATAGAATGTTGCAACAGTGTTAGAAACTCAAATATATAATCTAGGAGACAAATGACTCCTTAATCCGAGGTTACAGTCACCAAAATGGAATGTCTATTTGCCATTTGGGAGCAAGATGGCTTTAAAGTCTGATTTTTCAAATGATGGTCTGACTGCGATTATCATTAAAACATTGAGCTAGTTCAGATGACAGCCTTGAGCTGGGTTAAGAACTTTGAGAACTTGAAGAAGAAAGAAGCGAGGCTGGGGAAACCCAGCCAGATGGGTGGGGTATAAATAATAAATTATGATTATTATAAATCACTTGATCCAGGGACAGTCCACATAGATATTGGCCTATTCCGACCTTGTTTTCTTAATGGCGACATGGACCATTCATAATCTAGGGATATTCTTCACAACTGTGAGCAGGGCAGTAGACAGGGTAAGTGAAGACAAGCTACAACAAATAGCTGTAACTCCTGCTCAGGCTGCACAGAAAAAGCATTTGGTTCCTGAAATTCATTCCGATCGTGCAGATAAAATATAACTGACAGAATTCTACAGGATGGGTTATGTTAGTGTGAAAAGAGTAAAGATCCAATGATGCCAAGGCATGCACCTCCAGATGGCAGAGATGTCAGGTGCCATCCTGGCACCCAGGAATCTTCACCTGGTCGCAAGTGTTTGGTAAGGTAAAGGTAAAGGGACCCCTGACCATCAGGTCCAGTCGTGACCAACTCTGGGGTTGTGGAGCTCATCTCACTTTATTGGCCAAGGGAGCCAGCGTACAGCTTCCAGGTCATGTGGCCAGCATGACTAAGCCGCTTCTGGCAAACCAGAGCAGCGCACAAAAATGCTGTTTACCTTCCCGCCAGAGTGGTACCTATTTATCTACTTGCACTTTGATGTGCTTTCAAACTGCTAGGTTGGCAGGAGCAGGGACCGAGCAACGGGAGCTTACCCCGTCGCGGGGATTCGAACTGCCGACCTTCTGATTGGCAAGTCCTAGGTTCTGTAGTTTAACCCACAGCGCCACCTGCGTCCCAAATGTTTGGTAGCCTGGTGCAAAATGTGCCTGGCCCCTGGCTAATTTCAAACACTGGGTTGCAGCCTTAAGCATTATATGTCACCTCTCCTACACAGGAAGTTAGGTGTAATCTCACTTCCAGTGTAAAAGTTTGCAGTGTTTGTAAATGTGCTCATAGGACTGCTTCTGCAGGTCTCATCCTTCTTTATTTAAGTAGCATAGGATGGATTTGTATCTGCACACCTGAGCCTGACCCAAGTATGGGATGCTGCCATAGAGCTAGGCTGTACACAGGTGGCACAGGAGCAAGCCTTGGGCGTGAGTACAGTTCCTTGTTGCCCACATAAACGACAATGCAAAGTGCAACTTAAATAAACAGGGGCCTTTTTGAATTAGCCCAAGTCCTGTTCTCCATTTACAGTGAGAAAAAGATGGGCAGTTCTCAGGAAAGGAGCCATTTTCCACAAGCTCCTTTTTGTGGTCACAAGTGCTTGGGTGAATTGACCTCTATTATCATTAGAGGCATTGTTCATAGTGGGAGGAGGTGCGTGAGCCTAACACCCAGCCCAAACTGTGTGTACCATACCACAACGGCCTAGCAGTCTATATAAGCAAGTGGGACTGCAACAAGTGGACCTGTCTTAGGGGACAAGAATTTCACCTTAAATACCCAGCTGATACTCCCATCCCACACTGGCTGGTGCCATGCACATGATTACAGCCAGCTGCCTCCTCCATGCGCCTGCACATGTCCCCTCTCCCGCCCAAGCTTTTCGGTGTTTCACTTCTCTATAGCCATATGGACTATTTTGGGGGTGTCTTCCCCCCTGGGCTGACAGTTTAATCGTCCGTCAACACTGCCAATGGAATAGTGTCCTCCAGTGCAGCCAGCTAGTTTAGGAGGTATATGACAGGCCTGGGGCACACCTAGCTCCCATTTCTAATGAAGGGCAATGACTCTGAGGCCTGAGGCAGTGACTTCAGCCTGCCTAATAGCAGGGTCGGCCCCAACTGATGCCGTGCCTTCAGCAGCAGCGTGATACTGAAACAGAAGTTTTTCCTGGCGTTGATATGAATAGTGGACAAAATATAACTTGCTACATGTCTGAGTCTTAAGCTGCAGTCCTATATTTTGATTTTAAGTGATTTTAATACTGTATTTTATTGTTGTTACTGGTTTAAGAAGGGCAGGTAAGAAATCCAATTAAGAATAGTAATAATTAGCTGAGAGTCAGCTACATTGAATTCAGTGGTGCTGCATAGGATTGTACTGACAGATTTCTTATAGAGATGTTCAAAAACCCTTTGAGAAAAACAAACAACTGGCTACCCTATTAACATTCTATGCAGGTAGCCGATGAAATACTACAAAGGATGTTTTCTGACTTTTAATGGGGTGGAGGAAGAGTCAAAATAAGGGCATTACATTTAATTGAGCTATATTTATGCAACTAACACAGGAAGGAGGATATTGAAAAGAAGCTAACCATTAATTAATAGATGCTTATTCAATTGATTAGAATGTAAGAGCCGCTTTTCCAATTTAACAACAACAAAAATTAAAAACTGAAACCACATAGAAGCAGCAAAATAAAACACAACTTCAGTCCTATACGCATTGCAGGTAGAATTTAATGGGAAATACCTCTAATTAGGTATGCTGAACCACTGCAATAAAATTTAAAAGATTGAATCTGTATTGGGTTTTTCGGATCCAAGAACACTCCCGAACCAAATCTCAAATAGAGGCCCACTATTACACCATTGAGGACGCGGGTGGCGCTGTGGGTTAAACCACAGAGCCTAGGGCTAGCCGATCAGAAGGTCGGAGGTTCAAATCCTCGCGACGGGGTGAGCTCCCATTGCTCGGTCCCTGCTCCTGCCAACCTAGCAGTTCGAAAGCACATCAATATGCAAGTAGATAAATAGGTACCACTCTGGCGGGAAGGTAAACAGCGTTTCCGTGCACTGCTCTGGTTTGCCAGAAGCGGCTTAGTCATGCTGGCCACATGACCGGGAAGCTGTACGCCGGCTCCCTCGGCCAATTAAGCGAGATGAGCGCCGCAACCCCAAAGTCGTCCCACTACTGGACCTTTACTATTACACCATTAAAATGGCAACAAAA